CTAAATAATTTGAAGGAATTGAAAATGAAAATAGATATTTAAAAGACAAGATCTTCATAGTTCTTCCTCCAATGATCCCATAAAATCCCTAAAAATTCTCAAATGTATATACCATGTTTTTTTCACTTATGATTGGAAAAAAATTTTTATAGACAAAAAAACAAAAGACAGAAGTAATAAATTACGAGACCAATTCGGCTTAGTCTAATGTACTTGACTACCTTCTTCAACGGTAACTATTGGAATAGTCTACTAATAATCTCTTCAAAAAGTAAAAAAAATACAAAGAACTGATGTTTATTTTCTTACAACACCTCCATTGAACATTAGCTGATAGTAAATAAAGAAAAGATGTGGTCTTAAATATTCAAAGAAAATCAGTGCTAATGGGTCGAATAACTTTTCATAGTGATCAGAAGGAATTACTTTAAGCTGATATCAATTTCCCTTCTGTTTTCAAAATAGTCGGCACACTTATCTTTTGACACTAAGTTTCAATGGAGGATGGCAAGCAAGTTTAAATAAAATTTAGTCTTTTCAAAAAATACACCATGGCAGCATAATTCGGTCGTCGCAGATAAACCCCAGTTATACATAATTCATAATCACTATAATATTGCTTCTATTAATGTTTCTTCTCTTATCACATATAATGTTGCTTCTATTCCAAATGAAATTTGCGTTAATCGGATAATGTGACCCCATCCTCCAGTAGTGCATGACAGTACGTAACTAAGCATATTCATATGGTATAGAAAGGATCAAAAATGAATTCCACTGTTTACTGCTTGCTAATATAAAAACAATATGTGAACCTTGATCATATGCATTCATACTATTCGATCGTTCCGCTGTAGCAAGCTGTTGTCGTCGTCGATTGTACATACAGTCAGCACTCGATACCATCGTAATCTGTTGCTGTGTGTACATTGTATCGCTATTGATAGCATCGCTACCACCACCGGAACAAACATCCTGCATGACAGTCGTATTTTTTGATGTAACAGGTAGATGCGTAGTGAGGCGCTGCTGCTGGTTTCGTTCAAAACTATCAGGAAGTCGCTTCTCGACCGTTGATGTCATTTGATTCTGAAGACGATAGCGATGACTTCCAGAGACTGTCGTTTCGTTCAGTAAAGACGAGGGCTGACGGAATGATGGTAGCGTTTCATGTATTGGAGGTAGAAGATCTACAAAGGAAGAACACTAATTCAATTCAAACGTAAGATAATTAAGTTCAGAGATTTCTATTGACAGAATGGTAAAGGAGTGTACAGAGAAGGAGGAGATGATACATCGGTAAACATCTCTTATTATCAAAAAAGAACACACCTTATTAGCAAAAAATACGCCTTACACTTCAAATCGCGCAACCTTCCACAAATTTCTATGAAGAAAAATTTTACAACTAAACATAAAAACTGATATATTAGGGAATAATTTTAATCTTTGTTTGCGCTGTTTACTTCAGGATTTGGAATTTTATAGATGAATTGTTTTAGCAAACAGTAAGTCTCACTCAGCCATGAAAGTTACTATTTGCTCTATCTAAGCAGCATGGGTAATACATTTGAAAAGGATTTACAGGCCAAATATTGAAGTTTTTTTGCTCATCTGCTCAAATACCAGAAGTTTAAAACCAATCAAGTGTTCGTTTCGTTAGTTCATTCGTTTTCGTTCGCTGAGAATATTTTGAACAGATGAGCAGAAGTTTACAAACGAAAACAGAATTGAAATTGCGAAAAAGTTTCTCAACTGCTTTACTGCTAAAATGAGGAAAAAAAATCCTAAAAAGGGACATTCTATTCATGCAGCTTTTCAATGATCATCAATAAAGCATAATAAAAACAAATGAAATTTTTGCAAGAAATGTTGGCAGCTGTTAGAATTTATTCTGCTCAAGCAATAATACTTCCTTTTTAAATTTCAAATTCTTTTCTTCTCTTTGCTGCCCGCCATTTCGCCTGTAACTCTTACCTTTTTTCCTCATTTTCCCCATTTCTCTGCACTCAAGCAAACAGCTGTTTAAAGATTTTTTCAAAGGAATACAAGGTGTCTTAAAAAATCTTTAAATATTGATCAGTGATTTTCAGTTCTGAAAATTTTGTGAAAATAAGTTAAACAATTCTGATATATTGCTTTGAAACAGGTTCTGATTTGACTGGAATTCATAAAAATAAAACCAAACTAGTAACGATTATTACTAAAAGAGAGGGACCATACGAATCACGAAATTTTTCTTTGAACAAATAAAATATATATATATATATATAGTATCGAAATATAGATTATTGAGAATTGGCGTTTATATATATATATATATAATTTTCAGAAAAAGGAAATGAAAAGAATGCAAACTTTGGGAAAGGCAGGAGCTTTGAGAGCAGTCGGTTGGCTGTGTCATCATGAATGGGTGAGATCCTTTGATGAGATCCTTTTTTTGTTTAAATGACGCTGCTTCGACCACTACTTTATCAACTTTCTGAAAAAACTTAAGAAATAAATTAATGTCTCCACAACATTTACCAAATGAAGTACTATTTCAGAAAAGAATAAATCTCAATGTCGCTTCTCGTACCCTTTGAACTGAAGAATCAGATCTAATCGCTGTAATTTTTCCAGCAATTCCATATTTACTCATTAACTGACTATTTTTGTTGGAAGAAACCACTGCAATATCCCTTCTGTAACTTGTGTAATATATCAAATTTTCAACAAACGAGAATGTAGTACTCCTCAGAGACTAAAACCGTTTCAAGTCTGAATCGCAAACTCCATTAGAGGATATTCCACATAACAAAATAGCGTTTATGGATCCCTCTAAGTTTTCCTGTTTAGGGTTTTTGCTCATCACTCATTACTTAAACATAACCTGAGAGTCGGAAAATTTTCTTGAGTGTTATCAGTACAGTTGTCATTCGAATAAAGCGTTCATAACTATTAATCTATCTGACCAAAATTTTTTTGTATGAAGAAAATAAGCAGAATGTTGATTCTTTGTTATAATTTAGTCATAATAACATACTCTACGATTTCGACTGAAAACTATAATACCTTCTGGGCATTCTGCAGTACTATTGCTGAGGACTGTTTTGAGTGGCTGATGTCGTAGGGGATGGTAATCGATGTCGTGACGTTGTTATGATAATGTTGTTTGGTTGAAACTGTACAAAATCTCTCACTGCTACTACTACCGTTGCTATCGCCGCTACTTCCAGTATTAGCTCCAGTTTTTTTACAAGACGACAAAGTATTATTTCGAAATGCTACTGGCGTTAAATACGATCTGAAACAAATGAAAGTAAATTACGAAGGATATAAACAGATAAAAAAGACGATATGACATATCCAAGTCTACTTGTTTTTTATTAACACATTTCTTCCCTTAATTCTTGAATGCCACTTCTCGTTCCTGAAATTTTGAAGGATTCACTTGACAATTCCATTTCTTTGTCAAAGTTACTTAAAAAGCAACATCTACTCCTAAAATTAGTTGACTTTCTTTCTTTAGAAATTCTTATTTCTCGAATTTCTAAATTCAGATCCAAAACCAAAATTGACATATGACAAATTTTACAGGAGAATGTCGTAAATATATGTATTAACTGATATTTGCAACCACAATATATTTATTTCTAACCTTAATTATCGCATCAAAAAGAAAACTCAGTTCAACAATCTATTTTTGATATAAGCTGGATGATTATCCAAAAATTGGTAACTAGATTAAGTTTGTATGGAACGAATGTTAATATATTTTTGTTTAATTTTCATCTCATTCAATTTTCAATCAAAATAACGAGAACTCGATTTTACGATCAGAATAGTGCTCACAAACACTTACTAACTGTTTGAGGCTCATTTAATCATTTATTCCTATAAAGAAGTGAAAAAAATACTTATTTTAAGAAGTATACTTTGCATAACAACAGTAATATTAATTTTTGGCATTTTAATAGGAAAATCAAAAAAGAATGACTAATTGTTAAAAACGACTGTAATCGAGAAGGATCTAAATGACAATGTAAACGCAATTATAAGCAAATTTCTAACAGGTGTTACTAACACTAATTTTTAACTTTTTTCGAATGACTTTGTGATTTACTGATATTACTGATTTAGTCAAGTTGAAAAAAATAAATAAAACAACAGCCTTTTATATAGAGTAAAATGGTTATCTGGAAATAGTTGCAAAGAAGGCAGCAGTAGCGAAAACCAATTTTCGAGAAGGGCATCTCAACGTCCTATCCCTTGCCCCATTCTGTTTCCACATATTCAATACATTTGGTGGTAGCCGGATGCCTTCGTTAGAAAACATGTGCATATATATATATATAGATAGGGACGAAATTATTTTCTGGAATGTGTTTTTCTTTCCAGAAAAAGTTTTTCTTTTATGTAAAATATACAAAAGAATAATGAAAATGTATCCAATCGATGGATGATTTTCACTTTTGGCTAGATATAAGTCGCGCACAGAGCATTTCAAAATATTAACAACTTTTCATGGTGCAAAATTTTTCTCCATCAAAACGTTCAGACGTCACAAGTTGATTTCAATACAGAAAAACTATTATCCAAATCAAACGCGGAGCAATTCCAAACAAAATCTCAGTGTACTGTTGCAGGCGTATTTAACAACATTGTTTTCTAAAATACCCTCCTTAGGAGTCTAATTATACAGAATATTTAAACACATAGAAATCATGAACTATTATTCAGTAATGCACGCATGGAGCGAAGTCTCACTTATAACACTCGTAAGGATAATGCTCCGGATAAGGATAATGACAAGCAATATAAATCCAACGCATCGGCATTCTAAGTGCGGCAATACAGTCAGAATATTAATAAAAATTAAACTAGAAAATTTCAAAAATGAAGGAAACAAAAACGCTAACAAAAAAATTAAGTACCAAAAACCAAAAATAATCTGCAGCAAGCTTATATACTAACTCACACGGTTCACAATTACGGATCCCAAGGTTTATAGTTTGTCCTTCAACTGCTTTCGAAAATTATTCATTTGAAATTATTTTTTGAAAAATTTCTAAAATGACGTATAAAGTGCAGCTTGCACTTAAGCAATTTTATTGATTTGTTTGCAAAATAAACAACATTCCTAGAAATCTGTGAAACTCTGCAGGAGAGAAAACATTACAATGTAAAAAAAGCACTTCACAAAAAATGACAAACATTATAATGTGAAATGACAAACAGACAAACAACAACGAGGTCATGCATTTTGGCCTCGATCATAAAACGAACGAAAATCGTCGTATCACTAAATTACGACAGGTTCTTCAAAAACTACAGATAAAAGATCAAGTGAAAAAATAAACAGAACAAGAGCATATATTAGGGTTTAACTACTCTACATCTGTAAAATAATCTTAAAAATTACTTTTCTTGTCTTTAAATCAGGTTTAATCGAAGATGATTAAGTAATCAAAATAATAAAGAATAAACTGATTTATTACAATTAAAACACAGAAATTTCCGATTCCAAAATTCTCCAAAAAAATCTCTAAAAGAGGATTTTTCTGAAAAAAAACCTTTACCAACCCTTCGAAACAACTGTGTAGTTACCGTAAAGACGAACCGAAGTTATTAGTATATAACTAACATAACGCAGATTCCCTTATCTACGGACAGTTCAGCCAAATCTTCTAGACCTCAGATCGAAATTTACCTTTCATATATTAAATTATTAGAAAGTCCGGTGTTACGAAAAACTACGATACAAGCAATTTAATCTTATATTTCGAGTTTAACTAATTAGACCGAAAGGAAAAACTTTTGTAAATGTCAATTAAAAATGAGACTCTTTCTCTCTCTTGTCCTCGAAGACAGAATTTTCTTCAACAATTATTAAAATGAATTTCAAAATTTTTTAATGCAAAAACCACTTCCTACTCTTCTCAGCTATCCTGTCCTTATCCGAATGTGGCATTTTTCAGTTATGTAAAAACAAGAATGTTTTCGGAAACTTCATGTTAAACAAAAACTGAATGCTTTTAACTCGCATACGACCATAGATTTTATCTAAACTTTTAGAACATTTTTCGTGCTTAAATAAAGCAGTCATAACCTCAGTTCAAATTTAATGAAAACGGGATTAACATTAATTGCGCTTCAGAAAAGCATAATAAATAAAATGAATCATGTGGACACTAAAGGTAGGATTTAGAGCAAAAACAATCGATAACTATTTGCAATCGTTTCACGACACACTACTGATATAATCGAAACTTTCAGAAAGGTTATTTGAAGTGAACCGACTCTACTTATAGTTAACTTTCATTGCAGCAGGAGGCACAGTGATATGAAGCAATCATGAAAAAATTTTTTTTATAGAAAGCTTCAAAAGGTTGCGAAAATAATTTTTGAAGCTTAAGTAGTGAATAAATTTAAAATCGACTGACAACCGACATCGTAAAACATATTCACAGGCCTTTCTATGGCTATATTTCGTTTCGATAAGCGTATAATCCTAATGATAACTAAAATAGAGACAATCGCTACAAAATATTTAACTATGTTTATGCCATTAAATATTTGAAATATCAATTATAGCAGTACTCCGCCCCATCATCTCAACAGGATCGAGCAATTTCATTTTTTGAACTACTTCTATTTTATGTTAATCATAACATTTTCCATTTCTCATAAATTCGTGTCAAATGGTGTATTTTCTCCGATTGATTTGAAACAAACTATATCCTAATTCACAACAGGTAGAGAACGACTCACACCATACAACTTTACTGATATAATGCTCACATCCATAAACACACAATAAGACTACAACTCCCCTCACAAATATTTAATTTCATAAAATTATTTACCACGCATTATTTCCCAATAACTTATTCCATATGTCATATGATTTATATAAAACACAACGACTTCAAATTTTCATGAGCAAGAATAGCAGAGAATTTTCTTTTGAATTGAAACGCATATCAACAATTACTCGAACTAAACATCTAGTTCATTAAACGAAGACCGATATCATTGGTGATATACATATATATATATATCCAAAACAACATTACATGACGAACTATGAAGAAAAAAGCAAGACAAAGTGATGAAAAAGGAAAAAACGGGAAAAGATGGCTGATAATGAATTAACTTCAAAACTGAAATTGAAAGTGGACAGAATAATGGAACCTTTATTTTTGGGGAACAAAGGAAAACGAAATAACTTTCAGAAAAGACTCAGAACAAAACGAAACTATTTTCAAATAATAAAAATGATGAGAATTGGAAAAAAAAAAGAACATTCCCGGAAAAATGAAAGCAGCGTTTGCTTCCAAGCGCTTTCTTCTCTTTTCTCTAAAATCTACTCATTTGTAGACAGTTCAAAGTACCATCACAGATGTTCACTCTTCAAGTGCATACACAAATATTATATACCAAACGAGCTGCATTTCAGGAATATTCAATTTCCCATGTCTTAATCGTTGGATAGTTATTGTCAGGAAATTCAAACGACCATATGTTTCGATGAGGATGTAATAGATCTTTTGCGTAAATAAAGGCAACGTCTCCACCCGTATAAAATCTTGATGTTAAAATTTACTCAAATTATTGAGTTGCAACTACGGAACAAGATCGATGATTAACAAAGTTTTCTTCTCTTACCAGACTGTTTACTACAGTATTTTTCCGTCTCCTTTCCAAGTAAATATAATATTTAGTACTGCAAACATTAATAGAGGCATGGCAACCTTGCAACTAAATGCTTATTTGCCTGATTTTGAAAAGATTTTAAAAATAAAGTACTTATAAATACTTTGCTGTTGCTGCATAGATTTTAATATTAAATTGTTCAAGACTCATGCAATTTATAAAAAAGGACAACAAGTGTAATATTTCTTTAAAACGGTTTAATTTTGAACGGTCATTTTTCTAGCTAAAAAAAGTGCTTTAAAAACAGAAAAATCACCATAGCAATAAAGAAATTAAGTGTTGCGAGGAAGGAGAATGCGTGCCTCACTATGTCTAGCATTATTATATATGTATATCATAATGGTAATCATAAAAAGGTGCTATTAACAATTATAATATTAATCATGATACTTAACTTGCGGGCTAATACTTGAGAACAACAGAACTACATACCAGAAAAATCTTTTCAAATATCTTGGGAAAATGTGTAACTCAAAATGAGCTAAAACAATTTTATGGAGTCAAATTCTACATCTTCAACCTAGGTATAGGAAAACATGCAATGGAAACTAACTAAAAAATAAATTTCTTTCTTCACTGCGTCAAAAATGTCATTAGTAAAAATAAAAGTTCAGAATGACCAGGCTTCATTTATGAAAGCTTTCTTGGAAAAACGGCACCAAACGTAAAATATCACTTTTCTGCCCATTTGCCATGAGAAAAAATTTTTTTCTGTTCAATTAAAGAATTTCTAACAAATTTTTGTCATCGGCAGGAAAAAGAATAGAATACTATCGTTTCACTTTTCAAAATTGTATCGTTTTGATATTTGTTACCATTGTTTTCACGCATTTTTTTCTATCCCAATAATAAAATATTTTAAAACAAAAAATAGTGAGGAAGGATTAATACAAATATTTATATGAAGTTACGGTTGGAGCTGCAATGATAGAATAATTCTATAGATGGGAAGATTAGATACAGCGCGAATGCGGAAAGCGAAAGTTATTCCAGAAGAAAAAGAAAAACAGCTGAAATTTAGCATTTGTTGCTGTTCTGCAAATTAATCATGAATTTACAACTCATATAAACCAGTTTCAATAAAGAAAACAAGTTAAAACAAAGTAAATGGTCATCCGCATGCTTGAAAAAAGAATTCAATCCTTAAAGATGACTACCCAAATTTTCAGAATGGTTGGTGGCGATAGATAAAAAGTATATAACTACTCTGATATCATATCTTATAATCCTGAGAGTGAATAAAATAGTTTCAGAGAACATGTTTTGAAAGAATACGTGCTGCCCCAGTGAGAAAACGAGTCACTAGGAGAAAATTTCGGATGTAATTTAACAATAAATACTAAGTTTTCAAAGAAAACATATTGAATGAATGAACAATTGAAAAATACAACAATATCAGATGATAAATTTCTATAACAAATAAAGGAAATATGATAAAAATTACAATCATAGTATAAAATTTCCTTATCCTCAGAGCTAAATGGAAGATCAAAATCCATTTAAATGATTTAACACTATTCAGTTAGCCAGTTTTTAATCTCCTTAACCAACTGTATTATGGTTAAGTGCCATCATGTTCATTTATTTTTATGTGATAAATGTGCTCTATGGTCTTCTACTTACCTTTAACCTTCACGAATTTGTATTAGATTTTTGCTTTTACTAGCAGATGTCGTCAATATTAGGAATTTTAGATATGGGGGAATATTCACCGTCAGTAAAAACAGTATGTGAAACGAGCTGAAATAAGCCTTTCGATCGACGTTAAATCGCGCTTAAAACAAGATAAGCCTGTTCAACCCAGGTTAAAGTCTTTAGACAGAAAAAGAAAAAAAACAGAAACGAAAGAATACAAGTGAAAAAGAATAAAATGAAAGGTGGTTAGTCGTGTAAGATTTAATAGTAAATAAGAACAGAAATCAAAACTCGACAAAATAAGGAATGCAAAAAGGCACCTTGCAGAATGTTGCAAAATGGCCGATAATTTTGGTCATCTGTTTCAGTGTAATAGCAATCGTTCAAAATGATGAACAGCTATGATATGACACCCTACTCTCTCTCTCTTTTGTCCTTCTTTTCAACCTTTGCAGATTTATTGCCAAACAAACAAATACGAAAACTG